TCATCGCGCCTCTCCTCGCGGTACCGGGTGGGGACGTACTCCTTCGTGAAGGCTCGATCGAAGCGATCCCAGGTCCACGGCTTGGGCGTGTGTGGATCCTGGTCAATGCGCTTCCACCAATCATATGCTCCCTTCCGGAACATCTGTGACGCCAACTCCGAGCGATCAGCATCTGGGACTCTCAAATTCTTGAGTACCCGGTCCATCTGCTCAAGCCAATCCAATGCAATCTGGGGCTCCCCCATCTTGTCTCCTCGGAACTCTTCCGCTCCATTATCCTTCAACATCTTGAAGGTAACGATGCGCGGCTGCGGCTGTGGTGGTGGCGGTGGCTGGAACATGGGCATAAGCTGCGCCATGTGCTGCATATAATGGGCCATCATGGCCGGGAACATCTGCTCGTAGGCCACCTGCGGCATCACCAACGGTGGCATCACTGGAGGTGGTACGACTGGCGGTGGTACAGCTGGTGGCTGTCCCGCTGGCGCAGGTTGATTCTGCTGTTGCCCTCCGTCACCCGGAGGCGTGAAACTCGAACCCTCGGTGTTCACCGTGTGCACGCTCACGTGCTCCGGCTCCGGAACGTACTGACCGTGGGTCGATTCTTGACTCATTCTACAATAATAAGAAAATTCCCACGTCAGATCTTAACATATAACAGGTAAAGCTATAAATACTTATTACCTTCCCGGGGCAGAGGAGTTACGTGAGATGCAGATGCGGCTGAATTATTCATTGTATTTTATTTTGAAAGGGTCCAAAGACCGATTTTAAAACCAAATGCTCCGATACCAAAATGTAACACCCCAACCCGCATGACCCAAACCCGTGAGACAGCGGACCGGTGTGCCACTGAATTAGTATCCGAATTTGCGACATTTTCAAAACAATTTTAAACAAACGTTCTATCAATACATATAAAAATCCATCGGAGTAATTTAAAATAATGCGGAAGCCTTTTTAAAGTCAAACAACTTGGGATCTTGCCCGAAAACGTAATAAGCATTAAAGTTAATTAAATAAAGCTTATCAACAGATTAAAGAGACAGCCACGCCATCGTACATCTCCTCCTCAATGCCCTCTGGGATCGGCTCTAGGTTCATCTGTCTGATCACCTACGGACAGCAAAAAGGAAAACAACGCTATCCGCTCAGCATTGACGCTGAGTGGTACTCCATTGTAGCACAAGAATAAACATAATAATTCAACAATTAAGATCGTGCATATGTTTATCCTTTTAATAAAAATCAATTCAACTTTACATTCGGTTCTTTAGACGGTTGACCAACAGTCAACTTATTTTCTTTCTTTTCAAAACGATTTAGGTGTTACGGGTTTCTCATTAACTCTTTGACCACCGGTCAAACCAATTTAGACTTTCACCAAAGTCAAACCACTTAACATTTATTGCCTATGACGGAGATAGCCTCAATCCGTAATACCGAAGATGGCCTCAATTCGGTGGAGGTAGGATCCCTCGGGCGATGGCCTCAAACCCAAGATCGCAGACCCTCGTCCGCACGTCTTAACCTCACTGACCAGGCCCTGCAGCCGCCCGAGCAATGGCCAGTTTCTATGTTCAACACAATAAACCAATTGACCCTAATCACCGATTAGAATTAATTAATTAACTTAACTAATTCATTAAAGTCTTGGATTTAACCATCCGGTCAAACCTACGACAACAGAATATCCAGTCAAAGCCTAGGTCAAACATGACCTAACCCAAGTCAAAGTCAAACCTGTTCAGTCAATTCACAATCCTCAACAATTCAATTCAAACAATCAATTTAAATCAATTAACCAATTTAGCCAAATTATAGCATAAACACATATAACGATCCAAACCATTAAATCTATTCTGAATGCTATTAACTTCATAGTACGGACCTGGATTACGCCGAAATCTAATCGATAGCTCGAACGGAAGACAAATCAATGAAATCAACCGAACGGGTCAAATCGAGTCAAAATACGAAATCGACCAATCAATCCGGCGTGGAGGTTAATCTGCCGGCGATATCAACTCGGGGCAGCGGCCGGATGCGGCGACGGTGACGGACACCGGCGACCGTGGCGGAGCGGCAGTTCGACGGCGATGAGCAGCGACTGGCGGTGCTGCAATCGACGGCGGCGGATGGCCGCTGTGCAAAGGGCGACGGCGGCGCTCGTTTCCGGCGAAGGCGAAGCAGCAGCTGGAAGCTCGGCGACGGCGGCTGGAGACTCGGCGAAGCTCGGCGACGGCGGCTGGAAGCAATTAATTAAATTGCTCTAACAATTTAATTAATTCTTTTGGGCCAGATTTCGGGGCGTTACATTTCTCCCCCCCTTAAAAAGAATTTCGTCCTCGAAATTATCTGAGTCATTGGTCGTCGAAGAGATGAGGGTACTGAGTTCGCATAGATTCCTCGGTCTCCCAGGTTGCTTCTTCCACCGCATGATTACGCCATAGTACCTTTACCAAAGGTACCGTCTTATTTCTTAGTACTTTAGTTTCACGCGCCAAGAGAAATTAGAACTATAGGAAATGAAAAATGATAGTCTTATTTTGGGCCTTGAGAACCCAATAGGAATAATTTCCCTTTAGTACATAGCTTTCTTTTCTTTTTTGGGCCACTCTTTTGGGCTTAGCCAAACCAGAACAGTTACGTTTCTCAAACCAATCGAAACTGATTTTCTAATTAAAACAGTTTCAATTCCTTGGTAACTGGTAAAAGATTCCTTTTACTTTTCAACTTCTTGGAAGTTGAAACTCCTTTACTCTCACCGTTCC